TCGAGTACTCGAGCGAATTTTCGATGGGATAACTCGAGCGAATTTTCGCTCGAGTTATCCCATCACTAGTCATAGGCAGTCCTCTTCGCAGTCATTGGCAGTTGCTTGGCAGTAAAATGATGTTTTGCCAGTACATGTACAGTTTTTACCCAAGCGAAGTGCGATTTTCTTGTTTCCAACGACGATGCACCACCTGGTATATAACTACCGTTTCTTGTTGATTACTTACTTCTTTTCATTCATCTAACCAAAAAAATGTTTTTTTTTTGTTTGCCAATGACAGGATGAAGACATTAATCTAAAACCAACCAATCGTATTTCAGACCTAGATTAACCACATCTTTGACAAGTAAATCCTCGATAAAACAAGCAAAAAATCGGTAAAATAGGAGGATGTAGTGTGGGTTTTTTAGTTTTTCACCACACAGATCAACGTAGCGTGTAAAATGGCGGCGTGTCGAATCCCAAGCACAAATTTACGATCATCATCGGGCGCATTTCAATAACTCCATATTATCCCGGCAAGAGGTGAGCACCGAGTTAAATCAACACTGCGGCGGAAGTCTTTTTTCATTTTTTTTTCATTTGATTGAAACCAGGGGACGCTGGTGCAAACGTAGACCAAAAATAAAATTGTTTCTGAGTAGTGATGGGTATTACGATTCTTTTTAGTGAATTGAATTGAATCAGGTTAATCAAAGGGTTCTTTTTTACCCTAACTTTCAAAAACACCCTGTGCAATAATTTTATTTATATATATATTTTTTTTTTATATATTAAACAAAAAATAAAAAAACAAATTAAAAACAAACTTACTTTTATTTAGTTTTAGGCGGATATAATATCCTTGGTCCAAAGAGCTCTAGTTACCCCTACTTTATTGGCTCAAACCGACACTGTATAGCGTTTTTAATATCTTCCGTGCTTCCACAGCTCAACCTGCATACTCCATTAAAACAGCGCAAATCGCGGGTGGCCCCTCGGCAAAAAGAATCAAAAACAGAAGAACGTAAAGTTGTATTGATAGGCTGAAAATTTATGTTTCATTTCCAAGTTTCAACACTGCTGTTATACGTATCATAATTTTAACTTGACTTTCTAATAATATTTAGAATCAAGCTTAGAAGATAGGCAATAAAGGCATACCTATAGGTACAGTAAATTAAATTCCAGGATACTCAAATTAGAGAACTGTTATCTACTGCTCAGGGGCGGATACAGAAATTTATTTTAGGGGGACCCAAATAAAAAATAATGCCGAATATGCCTTTTAGGGCGCCATTTTTAATCCAAAAGCCTAATATTTAACCCAATTGACAGATTTTAGGGGGGGGGGGCGGGCCCCATGAGCCCCCCTCCTGTATCCGCCACTGCTACTGCTCAATATCAACTGGCAACAAAGAGTGTATGCTTTTTAGATTTGTCTAATTCTAAGTTTTCAGTTGGAAGTTGGAAGATTTGGTGTTATAATACTTAAAATACTTAAAATAAAATTTTATAACAATAAAATACCAATTCGTCACAACACACCAAAACACTTTACTTTTGCATTGGAGGCACGTTTCGCTAAAATGCGTTCTGAAGACTTGTATTTTCCACATAGATATCATCATCATTTTGAGCTTATTCAACCATTTCCAATTATGGTGTAACCTCCCTCCAAGAGGTGTACGTACTGTCAAAATAATCTTTCACTGCCAAGCAACTGCCAATGACTACGAAGAAGACTGCCAATGACTGCCAGCGACTGCCACACTGAAAAAAAGGATCTCTCAGGCGAAACGAATATGACTTTGACCCAAAAAATTGGCGCTTTTCAATTCAATAGGGCCAAGAACGACGTTTCTTTGCCCAAAGCATTAACTATCTTTTCATAAGCTTTAAAAAATTACTTGAGAGAATTGAAGAATCTATGTGTCCAAAGTATTTCACTCTTGACCCAAAATGAATATGCAAAGAAGTTTTACTTCCTTAAACACTTTTACACTTTTCTTAAACCAATAGCGAATATTATTGACTCAACTAAAATTTATTTTGATCTAAGAGAAGTCTATACATCATATACAGGCATATTACGAGTTATATTATTTTCTGATAAATTTAGGTTTTCCTGGTCTGTAGTAAGTAAAGTGGTCTATAGTGTTTAAACATGTGTTAACTTCGATGAAAATAACTTTTAATACACACATTACTGCTTGAGTACTCTTTCTCATTATTTATTGGTTCGAGGGTGGCCCCATCTAGAATTTATAGCGCATCGCTGCTCGGCGGGATCTGAAAGATCGAAATTTATATCTGCGATCGACCTAAAATCGAAATTAAATTAATTTTAATGCGCCCAGATCCCGAGACGGTAAAACCGAGCGCGATTTGTCGACATTTTTACGACAGGCATTGCTGAAGAGATAGAGGATTAGACCATCAAGTTACCTTGACACTGTTCTTCAATGAAACTCCTTGTTTCCACGATTGGTCTCCATTATGAAAAACCAGTCTTAAGCCTGATTTTCATGCATCCGTTGTCCGACGATACGATGATACGATATTATTGGTTGAATTTAAAAAGTACGAATGGTTAAAAAATTATGCAGTTTTTAAATTTATTGTATTTTCATGCCTCCGTTCATCGGATATACGATTTGCTTGTGATTGGTGTCATTTTATATTTTTATTTTCATAACGATTTTGCTGTTTTACTTATAGTTTAAGAGCTAGTAAAGTTTTCGAGAGATAATTTTAAGAAAGCTGGTTCTTTAATATATCTTTTGCTATGCTCCCTTGAACAGAGTGCGGAACGTCTGTCTGGCTGCCGTTAAACGTTGCTTTCATTACTGCGCATCATAGCAGTATGCAACATCTGTTCACTACTGCGCATCACAAATTCGCCCTGTATTTCAGGAACTAAGGAGGTTAGGACAAACTTATGTGTAGCATATTTAGTTTCATAAAAAAGTAGAAAAGTAATGTAAAAATCGCATCATTGTGTCTCTACTCATAAACGAGAAATCCCATAAAACACACGAAAATGGTATATCCTGTACAGATGTGATGCGCAGTAGTCTACCGGCAGCCAGACGGCCCGCACTTTGGTCAGGAGAGCATAGCAAATGATATATTAAAGAACCATTTTTTTTTAATTCTCGTTTTCTCGAAGGTGCTAGCTCTTGCATATTTTTATTAGGGTTAGATTAAGTTTGTCAAAAAAGTGTTAAAACCTCTGTTATCCGTTGACGGACCGGAGTAAAAAATTTACGGATGAAAAAAACGCTATGACCAAACAGATCGCCGCAGCATGAAAATCAAGCTTTAGTTTATATGTTATAGACCACTATCGGCCGCTAACAGTAACTGACTCTCCAGTCGACACGACGTGGCAAAAGTGAGCTTTTACTACCAATTTCATTAACATTCACTAATTTTAGTAATTTATTCTATCATGTATATTTTATCACCACAGATATTATGATCACTATGACTATTATCAACAAATGATTTTGTAAAAGAAGTGAAAATTGAGATTGCAAATTCAAAGAACGTATCTAGGTAAGATAGTTATGGTCTAAGGTTCGATACCATGGTATAGATGCAGGGAACGGTTTAGTGACGATGTGATGGGAAACTGATGAGACGGTTTAATGTAGATCGGAGACACGGTGGTCTGTTTTTATGGCCGGTTTTTATTTGTTTTGATTAAAAGCATCGCGAAATTGATAATATTTACGGATAGAGACGTATCTTATTTAATCTATTTAGTTTTAGTACCTAACTGAAAAATAAATCTTTGGATTCATCTATCCAAAAAAGGTCCTATGGGAACTTTTTTATTTTAACAGAACGTCAACTAACTACTATAAAAAAAAAATAGTTGTATTTAGATATTTTAAATAGTTTTCCTTTTTTTTCCTCCAAACAAAGGTTCTTTGTATTTTTTTCCTTCCGACGACGTAAAGAGATTTTTGCTACATTTTTACAAGAATTTAAATCGTTTCCACTTATGTCCTAGGCATCTGAATAGATAGTATTGCTTTTCAAGGAGATCTTAGGTCATATACGGTGCGTGGTTCGATTGCATTGAATGTCTTGATTTTAAAATTGAATGTCTCATGTCAAATTTCCAGTCAAAAATTGTGGGAACTTATGGAAAAAAGTTAGATATTTTAGTTAATGCCTATTCAACAACATTTATAGTGTTTTTAGAGTCGATCATCCACTTCTCTAAACAAATAGAAGAAAAGGCGTTTTTAGTTACGTCAGTTTGATTTAGCTGTTTCAAGAGCGTTGTATTTTTTGTTACACCCTGCGGACATTCATTGTTAACTGTATAACAGCCGTAAATTGTAAAAAAAGAAACACATTTATTTTTTGGGGCCCAACGTGGGGCATGTTTTATTAAAAAACTGATATAATTAAATAAGGTACTATAATTATTTAAAAACAATAATAGAAATACACGTTAACTGTCTTCTATTTCGATTACTAAGTAAATTTAAACAGTGCACTTAAGAATAATGTATTGTATTAGTAGAATATGTTGACGGTACAATTGCCAAGTCATTATAATTATTATAGAAATAAAAATGTCTTATTTTGATACATTCACTATAAATATTAAATAATTAATTGGCTAGATTACAATTTATGACAAAGTTGTTGAATATTTGTTTCTATAGACACTAAAATACCTGACTTGGTTTTACATCAGCTCTCACAAGTTTTTGTGAGAAGTGCGTTGCTAGACTTGGAATTTTTTTACACCTTATGTGGTTTGATGCGGTAAAATATAAAGGAAAATAAAACTACAAACAAATAATTTCAAAATATTTATTTTCTCATTACGTCTTCTGCATCAAATATGTTTGGCATGGTAAAAATAATTACTGATGAAATTTTATATTCTTCTTGATCATATAATATGATTCATTTAATCTTTTTTGGGTGCTTCAAAACCTTTTTGAAGTCAGAACCTTAAGGACAAGTTAAATAAAACTACAATAATTTTAATACAATATTTACAAGCTTTTATTAGTAACCAAAAAAAGAAGATCACATATATATCGACAACACAAATAATTACACAGCTATATACAGACAAATATAAAATCCTTCATCACAAAAAGATCTCACTGACAGGTGGCCACCTTGACCGTCTCGTTGCACACTTGGCACGTGACGTTGCAGCAGTAGACAAACTCGCAGTTGCAGCTGTGCTCCACCTCCTTGGTTTGCACTTGAAAACCTCGACCACAGCACAGGATCCCACATCCTTCTTCCCCGGGAGATGTCTCATTACATTCTCTTCCCTGTGTTCCAAAACTACCCACGCTACTGTCGGGTAGGCAGAAACTGGGGGATTCCTCTGAGTAAACCAGGTCGAAACGAGTGGGGGGTTTGATGGTATCGCCCTCGGGGATGAAACTTTGCCCGTCGTTGCCTGGGATGACCTTGGCTGCGCCGTCGAAACGTTCTTTAAGTCGATCGCCTACCTCCCTGAAGGCTGGCATTTTTCGGATGCAGGTTCTCAGTGCGCAGGATCCGGAGAGGCCGTGGCATTTGCATTCTTTGCGCATGTAGTTCTTTATCGCCTGAAATCAAAGACAATACGTTTTTAGGTTGAATATTCATTCAAAAATATACTATAAAGCCTCATTGAAAAACTCGAAATTAGTGGAATAAATTAGTGGTTTCAATTACCGTAGAAGTTTGTTCAGAACATCAAAATTAGTGGTAGACATTTTTAATCAGTAGAAAAAGTTATCAAACTTTTAACTTTTAAACTAATTATACTTCAAAATTTGCGAGAAATGTCATTTTGGCCTTTGATTATCTTCCGTCAAGAGAACTTGTGGTTAGAAATCAAAAGTTGATTGTTTTATAAGCTAAATATTAGGCTTTCTCTGTGGATACAAATGACTAAAGCAAGTTGTTGCTAGGATATTCTATTAATTTTAATTGTTTTTTTTAAATATAGTGAATGATCGTAAACTAAAAAGTATAAAGTGTAATTGAAACCACTAATTTATTCCACTAATTGCGAGGTTCTGAATGAAGCTTAAACCACTATATTTCTTGTAATTACGTTTTTGTTCTTGCATTTTTGCATTTATTTACTACTTGTCAAAAATAATTAGGTTATGTTAATTTGACTTAGATGTTTCAATAGAGTTGTAACATTTTTTATTGTTAAACCCTATTAACGTCCACTTTTTGCCGGAGAACAGACGTAGGATATAACAAAAAAACGTTACACTTATTTTTGGTGCCCAACGTGAGGCACATTTCATTAAAAATAGTTAAATAAAGTTACTATAATTACTTAATAACAAAAATAGATAATAAACGTTACTTCCTGGATCTTTTTATTCTGTGTTAAATGTATATTAAATTTTGTAAAGTTTGTAAACTAAAAAATATAACAAAAAATATATAAAATGCTTACTAGTCGACCTGCTACATAGTTGTGTGACTTAACCAAAGTGTTCATGTCGCTTCTTTTTTTCTTGTGTCGACCCTCCAAAAAATCCTTGGACCTCTTAATGCCAAAATCGATATTTTCAGCGCATCCGTCCCATTTAAAGTCGGTTTCTGGCGATACTTCTGTCGGTTTTTTCTTCTTATTTTTTCTGAAACAATAAAAAATATTCAACTTTAATTTCGATACTATATCCTATCATCTAGATACTTATTATCATTTTAGTTCTAGTAATATTATGAATAAAAATACTAAGGATGGATTGTAATGATATTTTTATATTCATGCATTAGAGAGGCATTCGTCGTCATCAAATGCCATTTCTTGACAGTTTCGTTTGACAATTCATTTGACATATTTGAATTTAATTCGATTTTTTGTGGATTTATTGTATAGAATGTTCAGCCATCATTCAACGTTACGTCATATATTGTCGAACTCTCTCAGTCACTTGACAACCAGATGAAAGAGTTTAACAACTAGCCAGCGCAAGAAGGCTGGTTTTTTTGGTTTTGTTTGTCAATCAATGTCATTTATGTGACAGAAATCAAGTAAATATTGGAAGTTCGAGTGAAATTCTCATTTAATTTCTAAAATTTGTAATAATATTTTGTATTTACATCCAAAAGCAATGGAGGTAGGCAGTAAGGGTAAATAAATATCATTAACTAAATAGAATGACTTTTTAGGACCATTTAAACTTATCATGCAGCCATTGTTTCTTAAAGTCAGGAACATTTAAAGAAAACATGAAAAACAAGACTTGATTAGATTTGTTTATTTATTATTGATCTGTTTTAATATTGGACCTGCAAATCTTCACTTGAGCTGTCTAACAAGTTTAACAGTTTATTATATAGGTACTTTTCAATATTAAACTCCATTGAAGAGAAGAAGCAAACGTAAAAGCAGAGAATAGGTACATTAAAAATGCATAAAAGATAAATTTTATTGAAATTTAGAAAACGTCAACATTTGACGTTTCCAGTGTTTTAACAAACCTTTCCGTATCAAACCGATGTTTTTTAGGAACAGCTCTTTACCATAGTTTACCGGTCTGGTTCGCCTGGTTTTGCAACTGAATACAATCTTAGTCAAATTTTTATTAAGTATTGCTAAGACTATAATTAATGAAAGAATGCAACGTTGCATTAATTTAGTAAACAATGAAAATAATAAAAAAATCAGTTGAACCTGCAGCTCTATTTTTTTTAAATATACAATAAAATTAAAAAAAAATCTACTAAAAAAATTTCACATAATTTTACTTGAATATTGCAGATTTATTTACTAATTTATTTTACTGGATCTTTTTTAACTCTCAATTAATAAAAAAAGGTGAAATATGAGAAAGTGAAATTTTGTCGAGCCGAGAGATACCTAATTGCGGCGTTCCTCCCGAGAAGCCATACTCACTTTTTCCTTTTGTTGCACGAACAGCCAATTTGTTCACCTTTTGTACATGCCCTGGTCACCTGATAAGTGATGCCGGCGGCGATTATAGCGTTTACGAAACCAGTTTCTCTTGTGTCTGAAACAGAAAAAACGGATAAATCAATTTATCGAACCTTGCAATTTGTAGCTTAATATTCTCTTAAGATTATTATTTAAGTTCGATAGTTTTAGTTAGCATACGATTAGAAAAAAATGTCGTCTTTGTGATCTCTGAAAAAGCAAACTTCGAAGCAAGCTGATGGCATGGTTCATTTGCGTTTAAAGAAGTTGATATCTTCTCTGCTATTTTAATTATTTTTAGATAGATAAAAAGAAAGTATGAGAGGGAGAAGTTAATCACCACGAGCTTATTGTGCCCCCCTTTCTTCAGTTATAACTCATCATAGAGTCTCAGGTCTTTGACGAAAGCCAGTATCTGAGACGGTTTTACAGAGGTTAGTTCTCCATCTGCGATATCAGACGTACCAAAGTTGCTAATAGTTGTTGTCTGGGTGCACTCAGTGATGAATTGTTCCGGTGTTTCCCAATTTTTCCCACAGAATCTGTATTCATCGTTGTTTCTTAACTTCAACTTACTGAGGTATTCATTGAGGACACAGTGTCCTGTCAAAAACCCTGTGACAACCCGAAATTGTTTTTACTTACTTAAATCAAGAAAAAACTTCGAGAAATTTCTTTGAGTGTCTTAGATCGTTGAATGATTGTCATTCCAGGTTAAGGCTCAGGGCAAAACCATGTACAAAATGCAACACAGAACTTCAATACGCTGATGACTTTGCGCTCTAGTTTCAAAAACGCTACAGCAATTACTAAAAATGTTGAACACATACTGGGCATACGAGGCTTTGTGCCTTAAGCTGAACATCGATAACACTAAAATCACAACAACAGAAATCAAAATCAACATGCAGAATGTGTGGGAAGCAGCGCACATAGACAGCAATGGAGAAGAATTTTAAACAGCGACAACCAAAAAGTAAAGAAGGAACAAAGCTACGATATTTTTGAATGTCCGGAATGCGGAAGAGAGATAACATCACGTATCGGGCTTTTCAGTCATAGAAAAGCTCATGAAAGAAAGGTAAAAAATGCCTTGCGTAAGTAACCATCTTCTGATGCGTGTCAAATACTCGTCAGCGAGTAATGGCAGTATGTAATAGGTATGTGTTCCAGGTTAAGGATGGAGTCTTCCAAGTTCTTGAGTTGTTTTTTAAGTTGGTTTCCACTTGGGAAGCTGAATGGACCAGTTAGTGGAGAGTTTGCTTTTTCATTGTCTTCTATTCATTCGTGGGCTGGCACCCAGAGTAGGAGAGGACAATATAAGAACGATTTCCTAAATAATTAATTAGTATTAGAAATATTTCATTTAATTTCAAACGACTGAGTTCACAGCAATATCACTACATTAGGATTCATTTACCGACCTGTAGATAGATCTAAGCCAAATGACAAGACCGAATCGCCTTAACTCTCTTCTTCGGCTGGTCGGAGATCGAAGGCCCAGATAAGAGCCGCGAGCTCGGCAGGTAGCAGATGCTGCGAGATAATGTTCGCATGTCACCGCGCGGCACACCGAGAGAGAAAGATATCTCCGGATTCGGGCAGTTATTAAGCTTTTCAGAGATATTACGGTGAAAATAAAGTTGTTGAGGTGCCACTTGAATTCTGAAGAGCGGTATTAAATATGATTTCCGAGATGGTATCGCCTGCGAACCGAGCGGCGCGGCCGAGATATACGTCGCTATTTTTTTAACTGTCCGTTGGAATTAATGTTTTTGCGATGAATTATTACGAAATTGTTGTTATATTGTTGTTAAGTGTTAAATGTTGCATTTAAAACAAAGAAGATTGGTATATTGTGCCCCCCTTTCTTGAGTTATAACTCGTCATACAGTCTCAAGGCTTTGGCAAAATGCAGTATCTGAGACGGTTTTACAATCGGTCGCATCAAGTTTATGGCACGAGTGATTGTTGCCTCAGCGCAGTCAGTGATGAGTGATAGTGATTCCAGGTTACGGATGGAGTCTTCCAGATTCTTGAGTTCCGTTTTAAGTTTGTTTTCCACTTGGGAAGCAGAACGGTTCTGGTTCAGTTAGTGGAGTGTTCGCGTTTCCTTTTCTAGCTATATCGTTTGCTTTTTCATTACCTCCTATGACTTGGTAGTCTGGCACCCAGAATAGGAGGACTTTATTTTGTTTGCCTAATTTGTTCAGCTTCTCTAGGCATTCTTTAAATTTACTTAAGCTATATTGTTGTTAAGTGTTTCAAAAGTGTTGCATTTATATTAATAAAGTTGGTATATAGCACTGCATAATACACTTAATTCAACCTCTCTTGGATATTACGTTGTTTCTTTGTCTGAGCTACGTCTGATGTAATATGGTTTTAAAGCAAGTGGAGTTGTCCAATGGCCACTCTCACTGTCCTTCGGGGAATCGTTTTGTCAGATTTGGAACGCTAATCCTTCTCAGTCTTGAGTAAATTGTACTTCCAGTATCCGTTAATTTGACTACCGCATCATTAACAGATATTAATAATTTTTGTTGGTACTTTCGGCTTACAAGACCGCAAGACGAAGACCAGTCTCGTTGATCACTAATGAGGTCGTTAGTTGATATAATTTTATGAAATGATCATATACGAGTACCATATAATCGAAACATAATAAAGTGTCAAGCTGGTTTGGAATTGGTAATCAATGGATAATATAAAATTCTCCATATAAAATAACAGCGAACTTCATTTCCAAGTCAACTCTGACTCCGTCTTTTAAGTCAACTCTGACTCCGTCTTTTTTTCAACCCTATGGTATACTAGCCCTAGTCACTTCATCTGCGGGGTCTGTATTATAATGCATGTGACAGATAAATATAAATGACCGGTTGACAAACAGAGAGACAAACGTAGAAGACGTTTGTAGGAAAATATCTGTGGACATTTTTGAGGAAGGAGCATAATGCTATAAATACAATTAGAACGGCATTGATAAACCGGAATTTAAGTCAGCCATATTTGAGGCCCATCGCGGTGGACCTAAGATTTTTGATATGCTCCTTCCTAAGTCTTCTTATTCAAAGGTAGACATAAATAAACTATTTTAAAAACTTTCATGTATCCTACTGACATGAAGATAATATATCTAAGCTAAATATAATCTATTACAGCTGTAGTAAAATGAGTAACTAATTGTGAAAGATAAAGTTCCAACCCTAGCTGCAACATTTATCATAAACGCCTATGTGTGCGGTTTGAAATTTTGATGCAAAATCCGGCAATACCGCATAAAAGAAATGTATCAACTCAGCTTTTATCTCTTTTTTAATACATTTGATTTTCCACTAAGCTGCATCACTACATCACTGACTTACACGTTAAAATCTAGACCACACAGTTTCGATGACCAAATCAGTAGGTATATCTATTATCATTTCAAAAATGTTTACCTTTAGACATGACTTTCTTGATGCTTCTACTCGAGTTGGTACAGTTCCACCTCCTGTACCTGAACTGGTACTGGCACTGGGTGAGTGCCAAGTTGACGCCTATGGCCATTTGTTCCAGGAGTCCGGGCCTGTTGTTGCAAATCTTCGCTATTCTCGACGAAGACCGTTTCGCTGGTTTGCACATTTGCTTGATATTGAGAACTAGATCGACACTGGAGGCCCTGAAACAACAAACCGTCAGTCAAAACGTGTTAATCAAGTTTATAATAAAAAATTGTGTTTATTTCCAATTGCAAAAAATCGAGATTTATTTCAGTTTTTATTAATTTTGTATTAAGTGTTATTATTATTTCTGACTGGACACTGTCTCTTCAATGAACACCTCAATAGATTGAAGCTAAGAAACAACGGCGAATGCAGATTCTGTGGGGAAAATGGGGAAACACCAGAACACACAATTCAACATCACTGAGTGCGCCTAGATGACAACCATATTTGTCTCATAAACTTTGGTACGACTGATATTGGAAATGAAGAACTAGCCTCTGTAAAACTATCTCAGATACTGGCTTTAGTCAAAGTCCTGAGACTGTATGATGACTTAAGCTTCATTCAGAACCTCCCAATTAGTGGAATAAATTGGTGGGTTCAATTTTCAATTACACTTTATACTTTTTAGTTTACGATCATTCGCAATGTCTAAAAAAACACAATTAAAATTAATAAAATATCCTAGCAACAGCTTGCGGTAGTCTGTTGTATCCATAGAGACATTCGGAACCTCGCAATTAGTGGAAAAAATTAGTAGTTTCAATTAGCGTAGAAGTTTGTTCCTCTAATTTGATTGTAAGCATTCAGAACGTGAAAATTAGTGGTAGGAATTTTCAATTAGTGGAAAAAGTTAACAAACTTTTAATTTTTCCATTAATTATACTTCAAAATTTGCGAGGAATGTTATTTTGGCCTTTGATTATGATACGCCAAGAAAAAATGTGGTTAGAAATCAAAAATTTATTGTTTTATAAGCTAAATCAGTGGCGTAACTATCGATGTGCCGTGTGTGCGAAGCACACGGGCCCGGGCCATCGGGGAACCCGGCCCGCATTCCCATATCTATCACATGCTATCGCGAATCAAGCAGAATCGGGCGATCCCGAACTAAGTTCTTATGTATCACAAACATGTCTTCTTAACTACTTAACTAGCACACGCTATCGCGAAAATAACTTAACTTTACACTTGTTCTTGTGCAGTTTTGTAGTTGTGTCTGCAAAATAAAAATAACTGGAAATATGTGATTTTTCATTAGAGCATTAAATTTGACAAAAAAGGAAATTTGCTGTATTGTCACTGGATTTCTGTACCATCGAATAGAAATAGAACCAAGCTAGTTGTAGCATCAAAAGGAGCATGAAAAATTATACTGGCCAACTTCGAATTGATGGTTACTGAGTTGATAGCGTTAAGTGCTGCATGACTATCGGATAGGATGACAATTTCCTGTTTTCGATAGTTCCTATCTAAGATAACTTGTACGCATCTTTCGATAGCGTAAATTTCTGCCTCAAGGATACTGGGGTAGGTGCCCATTGGTTCGGAGTATTTAGTTTTCGGCCCAAATACTCCTATCCCTGTCCCTGTTTTGGTTTTGGAAGCATCAGCAGTTTCTTCCCAATCCTTTTTATTACTCAATACTACAGTGAGGTGTTTCTCAAAGTTGTAAATTCTTGGTATGTCATCCACTGGGAGTTGAAGTGATCCCTATCAAAATAAACTAGTCTATTGATGATCTTAATTCTAAGCTATGATGATCTTAATTCTGTAAGAGAAGACGAGACACTCTGTATATCTTTCTCTCTGCAATTCGACCGCATTAATAAAATCCATTTTAATAGGAATTTTCATGTGTGTGTTCGTTTCTCTATAACGATATCTTAAATATTGCCGGCGTATATACGCTCTGTTTAAATAAGAACCAGTTCGTAAGTCAAACGCAAAGCCAAAGTAAATATAGTGAAACGTTTCAGATGTATATGTGCGCGTTCCTCCTCTTTGATTAACTGTATTTCCCGGTTTATATGGCTCTCTCTTCTCTCGAGAGCAAACACTACCACTAAATTATTTGAAAACTTAGCCGAAAGCCCCACTAGAACTTGTAAGACGGTAAAGTATGATCGGGCGAAACTTGCAATGACATTAATGACAGTTCCCTGTTATTAATTCTCTTCGTAGTTCATTTCCCGTTTTTCAGTACAACAAAAAGAAAAAAAAACTGTACTTTAACCTGTAAGCTTATGTGTATCTTTAGTATTTATTTCAATTTGGATAAGAGAGGTATTTTATTATACCCTATACCCCCTCTGGGTGCCTGGTCACCAAGGGATAGAAGGCAATGAAAAAGCAAATGATCTAGCTAGGAAAGGAGCGAACACTCCACTAACTGGACCAGAACCGTTCTGTTTTCCAAACGGGAACCAACTGAAAGCGGAACTGAAGAATCTGGAAGACTCCATCCGTAACTTGGAAAAAGTTCCTCAGAACTTACGACCGAGAAAAATCAATGGTTTTCCTTGATTTAAGTAAAAACAATCTTCGGATGGTCACGGGGTTTCTAACAGGACACTGTCTCCTCAACGAACACCTCAGTAGGCTGAAGCTGAGAAACAACAGCGAATGCAGATTCTGTGGGGAAAATGGGGAAACACCAAAACACCCTATCACTGAGTGCACCGAGACGACGACCATTCGTGCTATGAACTTTGATACGTCTGATGTCGAGGATAGAGAGCTGGCCTCTGTGGAGCCGTCTCAGATACTGGCTTTTCTTAAAGCCCTAAGACAGTATGATGAGTTATAACTCGTTATAACTCAAGAAAGGGGAATAAATCTATAAAGTCGCGGTGATTAGCACCCCTCCTAAACATGTACTCATTCTACATTCTAGGGATCACTTATATTTTGTGATAGCTCAAGACATTATGATTATGAATAGGGACAACAATTTGCAACCATTTGCAACCTCATTTGCAACCAAAATGGTACGAACAGTCTGTACCATCACATATTAAAAACATGAAACAATATGGCTTCATCTAGAACATATTTTTAGCTTTTATTTCGTATTAGTACGAGTATAGTACTTTTCCTCATAAATCTCCCGTAATGGTTTCAAAGTGTTTCAAATGTTACACGGCCGCATAATGATACTATTACATAAACCGATTTAATGGCCTTTGCACTATAATGTTTCCAAACGTAATGCACACAATTTACGGCATCGAAAACATTATTTATTCTAACTTCCGATATCTGTTACATAATTCAGTTTTATGATGTAAAGCCACGTCTACACATCACGTTTTACTTGCCAGTTTTGCACGTCAGGTAAAACGGAAGATGATAGAGAAAAATCAAAGATTTTCCTTGATTTAAGTAAGAAAGAATCTTCGGATTGTCACGGTAAATGTAGATTCTGTAGGGAAAATGGAGAAACACCAGGACCAGGACTCCTAATCACTGAGTACTTACTATTTTTCTTAATGTGTCTGTTGTTTGTTTTTGATTTTTTGTTTACTTTTTTGTGTCTATTTTTGATGTTTTATCACAAAAACTTTATTTAATTATTCTAACCGTGTTAGGAAGTATAATTATTTATTGATGATTTTTGATGATCTTGTTGATCTATGCCTAGGAATTAGTGATGTGACTCATGTGGCACCGGTTTCCGGATTCCCATCACTACTAGGAATAAAAAAAGAGTATTTTAATTTAAGAATATTTGCAATTGTCATCATTCATAAATAATATGATGCACAATAAATAATCATTGATGCACTTTTTTATTTTTTCCGAATAGGTAAATAATGAAAAGGTATTTAGAAAATCTATTGATGACTATCGACAACAGTGACGGACGTGACCTTAGGATTTTCATACAATGGTAAGGCGTGTGGGCCGTTATATAGTAGCGATCATTAATTTGATGACACCATCTAACGACACTAATGATCGCTGTTTGTGCTTAATGATGAAAGGTGGCTCGTTAATGAGGAAAAAAACAATCTCGATTGCGCGATTGAATAGTTGTTTATATAATTTCTTGATTAATCGAAAAGATAAAACGATCATGCATGTGAATCAGGAATGTTGTTCACATATTTAACGTTTCAAATTATTTTCAAAATGTAATATTTTACGTAGGTATATTTTTTTTTCAAACGTCACAAAAGTATTAATTTTTGCGACGTGATTGACAATATAAAAACATCATTTCAACGCCTAGGCATAAAAATGAAGCACTTTTACGCTTAAGCACAAAAGTACGAAAATATGTTATTAAACCTATGTATTAAACTAACATAAAGTGTCAAATTCAACGAGCGTAACCATAGTTTCTCGATATATATATAATTATCTACAAGGTATTACTTTTAAATCTTTTTATATTATTTGCAATGCTTGAAATTGTTTAAGAAATTATTTGTGACGTTTGCAAAAAATCAGCAAATAACGCATTATTTTTTTAAGTAGTTTTTTAATATGACATTAATGTGGCGATATGATGGAACCAAATCAACTATTGTCATAACGTCATATTACGCTGCATTGGATACTGTATACTAAATTAAAAATAAACGTTAAATGCTAAAGACACAGTCCTGGTTTTAATAAACATTAATAATGATAACAGAACTAACGATATTAAAGAAAACATCATGTAATAATCAAGTATACAAACAGAAAAAAAATTGTAAAAAATAACCTAATACAGGTATTGCCTCTCTTGGCTGTTATAACTGCCCGAATACGTCCGTTCATACTGTCGTTGAGGCTGCATATTGCGATATGTTTTCTCATACTTTAAGGACCAAGTCAAGTTCATTTATTGAAGCTAGTAGTGCTTTGCGACCTCTAACCTTCCTGACAAGCATTTCCCAAACGTCGAACAGATGAACAGTTCATAGTGGTTTATAGTTCACAATAATCTCCAATGGCGCATTGTCATATTGAAAAATTACTTCAAAAAAGAAGTGCCAATTGAAAAAATTGTAAATTGTTGGTGGCAAGCTCATTCAGCTATTAAAAATTAACCAAGGCATGTATTGACATGATCCAAAAAACAAAATGCTCAGGAAACATGGTTCTGACCGTAAATTATATTTTAGGAAAATTTACACACGAAATCAATGCACAGGATGTTTTAAAGTTAAGGTAAAAAACA